ATTTGGGAATATTTTGGGATAATTTTGGGGATACTTTGGGGATACTTTGGGGATAATTTCAGGATACTTTGGTGATATTTTGGGGATACTTTGGTGATATTTTTGGGATATTTTTGGGATATTTTTGGGATGTTTTTGGGTAATTTTGGGCCGCCTCACCCCTCGGGACCCCCACAGTTTGGCGATGCTCCGGACGCTGATTTGGGAATATTTTGGGATAATTTTGGGGATACTTTGGTGATATTTTGGGGATAATTTCAGGATACTTTGGGGATATTTTTGGGATGTTTTTGGGGATATTTTGGGTAATTTTGGGCCCCCTCACCCCTCGGGACCCCCAGAGTTTGGCGATGCTCCGGACGCTGATTTGGGAATATTTTGGGATAATTTTGGGGATACTTTGGTGATAATTTCGGTATAATTTCAGGATATTTTGGGGATAATTTCAGGATATTTTTGGGATGTTTTTGGGATGTTTTTGGGTAATTTTGGGCCGCCTCACCCCTCGGGACCCCCACAGTTTGGCGATGCTCCGGACGCTGTCGCCGCCCTCCGGCTCCGGCTCCTCCCGAACCTCCTCGATCGGGGGCCCCTCCCCCCCCTCGGAGCCTTCGGCCTCCTCCTCCTCCTCCCCCGCCGCCTCCTCCAGGTCCGCCAGCAGCTCCTCGGCCAGGGACATGGCCCCGACTGGGACGGACTGGGAGGGACTGGGATCAACTGGGAATAGACTGGGATAAACTGGGAGGGACTGGGAGGGACTGGGAATAAACTGGGATAAACTGGGAGGGACTGGGAGGGACTGGGGGGGACTGGGATAAACTGGGAGGGACTGGGAGGGACTGGGAGGGACTGGGATAAACTGGGAATAAACTGGGATAAACTGGGAGGGACTGGGAATAGACTGGGATAAACTGGGAGGGACTGGGAGGGACTGGGAATAGACTGGGAGGGACTGGGAGGGACTGGGAGGGGTTAAAAGGGGACTGGGAGGGACTGGGATAAACTGGGATCAAACTGGGAGAGACTGGGAGGGACTGGGAATAAACTGGGATAAACTGGGAGGGACTGGGATCAAACTGGGAGGGACTGGGAGGGACTGGGAATAAACTGGGATAAACTGGGAATAGACTGGGAATAGACTGGGAGGAACTGGGATGGACTGGGATCAAACTGGGAGGGACTGGGAGGGGTTAAAGGGGAACTGGGAGGGAACTGGGAGGGGTTAAAGGGGAACTGGGAGGGAACTGGGAGTGGAGACTGGGGGCACTGGGAGCGACTGGAAGTACTGGGAGGGACTGGGGGGGACTGGGGGGAACTGGGATCAAACTGGGAATAGACTGGGAATAGACTGGGAGGAACTGGGGGGAACTGGGAGGGAACTGGGAGCACTGGGAAGGGTTAAAGGGGAACTGGGATCAAACTGGGACGGACTGGGAAGGGTTAAAGGGGGACTGGGAGGGACTGGGAGGGGTTAAAGGGGGACTGGGAGCACTGGGCTGAACTGGGATCAAACTGGGATGAACTGGGAACAGAGCAGAGGCGCCTCCCAGTCAGAGGCGGCCCCAAACTGGGATGAACTGGGAGCACTGGGAGCAGCCCCTCCCCCACCCCGTCCCTCAACTTTCCGCCGAATCTCCCAAAATTTTCCTCCCAAAATACCCCAAATTCCCCCAAATTCTCCCCAAATTCCCCCCCAAATTC